GGGGGTTAATTGATGGTTGGGTAAGCATTAGTGGGGTCACCAGCAAGTGATGTCTACGGTTGCTTTGGTGGGGCTTCATGCAATGATGGGTGATTGGAGCTCATGACGATAGGTGCGTAGAGCCTATTGACGATGGGTGCGTGGGGGGTGGGGATGAAGGAGAGAAGGTGTTAATTAGGTGTTTTTTGTTTTCTAATTAACTTTTATAAGTTATTAAAATTATAATTATGAGATATATGGGAATTTACTCTCTTACCATTCAATCTTTGAAAACAAACAAAATAGTACTGATGGAAGGGAGTTTTACATATTACTAATACCTAAGGGGTTTCATTGGTCTGGGCCAAACCTCAGGGGTTGAAATAATTATCACTTTTTTAATTGAATTTCTTGATTTTTACTGTATCACTCATACAAAATGGAAAAAAAAAAAAAAAGGAGGGAATTGAGGTGAGTGCCAAGGTATGAAGGCAAAAATAGGGGTGGAGAAATGAATTTCCACGCTGCATCAGGTTATGATTGTGGGAATAGGGATTGGGTGGGATTTGGGTGGAGGAGTTGAGATTAAAGCCGGAGGGGTGGTTATGTTAGGGTTGGGGGGATTTTATTTTAATTTATTATCTTTTTAAAATATTAATTATTTAACCCAGGTTCATTTACTTCTTTACCTTCCTTTTTGTTAAAATTAATGAAAATGTTCTTAACAGCAAGGGGTTTTGCATAATTACCATTACTTATGGGGTATAAATTCAACAAAAATTCAACAAAACTTCAGGGGTCTATAATCCCTTAAAAACAAATCAATAATGTTATAGACACCGGGACTCTACACCGAATTACATATCCCGTAACTCACACTAGCCACGTTTTACATTCACAAATATTTTGCTAGTGAACGGTCGTTCATCAACTATGGACAGCCGGTCACTTACAATGGACTCTCGTCCATATTTAAAGGACGTACGTTCATCACTTAATGAAAAAACAATGTAAACAAAAATAATGGACAACCGTTCATAGGTTATAGATGGTCGTCCATAAATAAAGGACGAGCATCCACATATAATGGGCGCCAATCCAATCTTTAAATAATAAAATTTATATAAACAAAATTAATGGACGGGTTCATATGTTAATGGTTTTAAAAAATTATAAACAAATTACGACTTCTCCAAAAATTTATATAGGTAATCGACTTCTCCACTTCTATAACGTCATATCCTCCAGTTTTTCCATTACTCTTGCCATTGTCATGGTCTTACTTGGCCAACGAAGAAGAGAGATCCACCTTTTTCTCATCATCTAATACGACGTCATTGCTGTCATCAGCATCATTCTGAACTAACTTGGCCGCACGCATCAATAGATGTTTCTCCACAATCTTAAGGCTAAGGTCCTCGTTCACCTCTTCATCATCCTTGCTCACCGCCACGACCTCCTTCGACTTTTTTTCCTCTTCATCAGGATCCAATTTCTGTTTTTGTTTTAGTCCCTGCGACATGTTCTCGGATTTAAAATTGTGAAAGAACTGTAACTTGAAGGAGAAAGTGAGGAAGAATCAGTTTGTATTTAAGTCCATAACTCAAGTGCATAAACCATGATATTTTTTTTAAACTATTAATAAGACATAAGAAAACAAGTGAAGGTGGTGATTTCCCTCATAAGTCACAAGTGTGTTGATAAATTGGAGAGTAGTTTGTCTGTGAACGCCCGTCCTTTATTTAGGGATGGCCGTCTATAATCTACGAACGACCGTCCATTATTTTTGTTTATATTGTTTTTCTATTTACTAATAAACGGACGTCCTTTAAATATAGACTCTCGTCCATATAATATGGATGGGAGTCCATCGTAAGTGAACGACCATCCATAGTTGATGAACGGCCGTGCACTAACAAAATATTTGTGAACGTGAAATATGGCTGGTGTGAGTCACGGGACACGTAATTCGATGTAAGAATTCGGTGAAGAGTCCCGATGTCTGTAGCATTATTGAAAACAAATATATGGAAATACGGTTTATTTTGAGGGATGATTAATTTAAACCCCCTGAGGTATGGGTATTAACTTAAAAGCCTCTACCGTTAGGTTAACGTTAATGTTTTTCTGTTAGTTTTAATAAGACGAGGTTAAAAGAGTAAATTGTTAATAGATTTTATAGTTAGTATAATTAATGAAATTGTAAAATAATGAATAAATAAATAAATGTTTAAATCACTTCACTTAACACAAGCTTATCTTAGCCCCACAAACAAACACTTGTCATCGTGCCAAATGTTCTAAAACTCGATTAACGACTGAATTTCGGGTTGAACCAGTCCGACCGGTCAGACAACGTCATCATACTGCACCATGATGACACAACAAAAACAAAATACTAAAATATACCGATTCAATAAAAAAAAAACTTCCATAACCCCCAAGAAATTTACAAATCGATTACCACGTGATAGAGACTTGAGAAACCAGTTGACATATACAAAACAATATGGTAAACTAAGTACCACAAGCATTCTTAATTAGAAATATAATTTTTACAGTGTTTCTTTGTAACTGATTTCAAATCAAATAAAATAAAATAAAAACACAAGAGAAAAAATTGAAGACACGATGTTTCTAATGTTTCTATTTAATTAATTTCCAAAATTTTGAAGACGATGTTTCTTTTTAATTAGTTTTGAAAAAGCTAAAGAAAACAAACCGTGATTCTTTTTAATTAATTTCCAAGAAGTCAAGGAAAATGGAATACAATGATTCTTTTTAATAAATTTCGAACAAAAATAAAAGAAGACAAAGAAATAAGAAATTAAATGGAAAAATCAAACAAAATGAAAAACAATGTTTCTTTTTAGTTAATTTCGCATAAATCAAAGGCAATTAAAAGAAAATAAAAAAAGAAACTTTAAAAAAATAAGAAAAATAACCCTGCAAGTAGTTAAAAAAGTTTGTTTCATTCATTTACTTATGAGATTTAACCCACCGTAATCTATTATATTTATAACTTAACTTATGAGATTTAACCCACCGTAATCTATTATATTTATAACTTATTCGTGACTTATTAATCGAGGTGAGCACAATAACCTATACATCTGGTTATTAAAAAAAAAAAAATTCAAAGAATAAGAAAAATATTGTTTCTTTCCCATTAATTTCGAAAAAATCACAGAAGAATAGATTTTAAAAAGAAGAAAAGTCAAAGAAAAACAATGAATTATCTAGTTAATTTTGAAAAAAAAAAAAAATCAGAGAAAACGAAGAAATTAAAAGAAAAATCAAAGAAAATACGAAACAAGGTTAAAAGGACAGAATAAAAGTAAAAGAAGAAGTAAAATCAGTATCAGAGGAGCATTGTTTGCATAATAAGTAACCGATATGAAAAATCCCAAAAAGTATTACACATTTTGCATCTCCAGTATTTCTTGTCGCAGAAATGTGACTGGAGTTGTGTCGTAAAAAATTTAAACAAGTTAGAAAGAAGAAGAAGGCAGAGTATACAGAGACTGGCGGCAGATGGAGGCTGGAGCGCAACGGCCTGAGTTGGTCGGTCAATAATTTTCTAGCATGGCAGGGAGAAGAAAGAAGACCGAAGAAGAAGACGAATGACGGTTGCTCATGAAAGAAGATGAGAAATGATAAATAGATTTTATTTTAGGGTTTTTTAATTTTTAGTTTTAGTGGGTCAATTTTCCCTCCGGCCCAATTGGACCCATGGTCTGACACTATTACGTCGATCCAACAACGGTCCAAAACGGTTTAATTAAGAAAACCGAGTTTGTTGTATTTGTGGATCGGCGTCAAGCCCGAAACTCGGTCTGACTGGTTCGATGCGACCGGCCGGTCCGGTCTAAGTTTCAGAACATTGGCCGCCCCCACAACCTGCACCCTGCCAACGGACCCACAGCCATGCGCACCCTTTCTCCACCTTGTTTCCTCCTTTCATCAGATATTCACATCCAAATCTCCTCAACCATGCCGCATGACCATTAAGGTTATCAAACCATACATTCAAGTTTTGAATCATTCAATTAAATTTCACGAATCAAATCATGTGGGTACGCAATATTTGGATTTGCAGTAATTTCTAAAGACCTAAAAGCTTTGGTTAACAGCAAAATGTGACAAATTCATATATATGCAGGCATGGCAAGTGAACACATAAAAAAAGGTAGCTGACAAAGTTGGTAAACCAACTTTCGAAATTCTTTATTGGGAAAAAACGACAAAGCAACTTCTTCTGGTTTTTTTTTTTTTTTTTGGACAATGATGTTGTGTGGGTAGGAGGAAGGTAGAGAGGTGCCGGGTGCGGATGGTACGAGGGGAGAAATTCTTAGCAAGTTTTGAAAGCATCCCGATTCAAGTGTCAATATTTACTCAAATGCATATATATATTAAGGAGAGCTGTTAAGAATTTCATTTAAAGACATCAGTTTTTCCAAATTAGAAAATATTAAAGGTTTATTGAAGAATGTCTCTTATAGAAAAAAAGGTTTTTACTTGATATAAATTATTTCCCAGGAAGTATATTGCAGGTGTACTTTTTGTTTAACTAAATACTGCAGAACCGACATAAATAATTTTTAATGCATCCTAATCGGTAAGTGACATGATGATAATGAGAATAAAATACTCTTTTAACTGAATAATGAAACAGCTCCAATCTTCATCTCTCCCCACCTAACCTTTCCATCTTCTTTATTGGTCTGTCGTCCTATGAGTTGCCGAAAAAGTACTCCACTTCAAAAGAAGAAAAACATATTACTGTTCAACAATTTGAACGGGTCATACAGAATATCCACGAGGGAAAATCCAAAATAATACTTTTTTTCATTTTTTTACGGTTCAATTCATACACCTCGTTACTTACGTCCCAGCATTTGGCAATGCCGACCCTAGCCGGATCACTGCATATACGTTAATCACTAACACTTTCTTTCATTCACAACCCTATAAATAAGCAGCTACCATTTCAACTTAATTTCTGTCAGAGGCACTCATAGCTTAACAAATAACTTTTTGACGAACGAAAGTTTCTAATTGAGTGCCAGCGCTTTAATCTTGACATGGCGAATTCCAAGTTGCTCATCATTCTTGTCATTGTAGCCACTTATGTTCCTTCAATTTTGGCAACAGATTTCGTGGTTGGAGATGCCACAGGTTGGACCACTAAATTCGATTACCAGAAGTGGGCTGAGGGGAAGGAGTTTCGCGTCGGTGACAAACTTAGTAAGTTAATTACTCTATAAATTAATTAATTAACCCTTCATATCAGGATTATTTTGTGAAGATGGCTGATTGATTATGATTTAATTGATTTTGTTGGGTTGGTGCAGTTTTCAATTATCCACAGGGAGCACACAATCTGATGAGAATAACTGATGCAGCTTCCTACCAACAGTGTGTGAAGTCACCTAATGCTAGAACTTCGAGTTCAGGAAGTGATGAAATTATACTAAGTTCACCTGGAAAGAAATGGTACATTTGTGGAGTTGGGCAGCATTGTGAGGTTGGAAATCAAAAGCTAGCAATAACAGTGTTGGCTGAAGGTGAAACTTTACCTCCAGTATCTGCTCCTTCTCCTTCAACTACTCCTCCACCATCTGCTGCAACTGGAAGGACTGCGTCACTTTTCTATGGATTCATGGCTGTTGTGGCTGCTTTTGTTGGAATCTTGATGGTTTAGTATTGAAACTAACAGTGCTGATGATAGGATTTAATATAATATTCCTTGAGTAACGGTTTTTGTGTGATTGTTCTGAGTTTAATATTGTTATTGTTGTAGATTTGGGAATATTGATTTTAATTTTGTATTGTAATTGAGTTTTAATCATTTAGTTGATGTATATGATCTCATTGAGCATGTATACACTTGCTCTTTTCCGATGTGTAATATTTTAGTTTCATAGTAGATTGCTTATTCAAAGTAACATTGGTATCATACTATCACTTACATATATACATAATCTTTTATTATACTTGTTAGGTAAACAAATCAAATATCCAATTTTTTCAGATCGAATTAGATACCAGATATCGGATTATTTTACACATCCCTAATCCGAGGCCGAGATCTTAGGCGAGTTAACCAGGCCATCAATGAATGATGAAATAGGAGGTGTTTGCGTGTCCCTTTTTGTCACTTAGTAGACTTTAGTTTTACTTGATAGAATTTAGATAGGTGACGTACGTGTTTGTTTTCTAAATGGAGATGATATCTAAATAAATGTTTCATATTTGCGTTTTACTAATATGTCCTTACATAAATTATACTAGCTGTAGACTACAATTGTATCATTAAATTTTAATTGATTATCAATTATATTAATATAAATTGTTAATTAAACGTATAATATCTTAAATTAAAAATTAGTAAATCAATTCCTAAGGTGTTTTTATAACAATATTGGTATTAAAGTAATCATTTTTGAATAATCCATCTATATAATTTTTAAAGCCAATAAAAGATGGTGTTTAGCCGAGATTTGATAGACAAAATTTTGGTGTCAAACTTTCTCTATTAGAGTCCAGCCAAATGTTGCATATATTGTCATAAAAAAAACTAAAAGATTAAATAGATCATTCTGAGATATCAGTTGATACTATTATTAATTTATTATTACCAAATCGCATCGAAAAATTTTCTTGTCATTGGATTCTAAAAAATGTTTTCTGGCAGCTGATTGTCAATTCTAACTGTTATAGTGGTCAATTCTGGCTATTAAATAACCTTTTATTATTATTATTATTATTATTATTATTATTAAATAGATTTATCTGAGAATAAGTGATCATTTTTAGGGGAGGCCTAGACATACACCGAGGTCTACGTATACGGAGACCAAGACCGAAGCCTTTCCAGGCACTAAACATGTACATCAACAAGGACCAAAGCTAAGAGACTTTGGCAACTGAAACTCCTTTAACACCATTGTCTTAGGTAATGAGTTGCAAACACTCTTCTAAGTCGTCGCCCTAGGACTAAGAATCTTTACCAAGTACTTGACAAAAACAAAGCATCAACATGTGGCGCCGTTTAGCGAATGGAAAACAAAAAGTTTGTTATTCACAGTGAACAAATATGATAGAACTAGTAAGGAAAAGAGTCAACGCCCCAAAGAGGGAGGTCTAGAATGCGAGCTAAGGCTTGATTCCTTGAGTGTTTAAAAGAGTTAGTTCAAACCAATGAGATAATAAAGAATATGAGTCGGGAAGGAAGAAAGACGTGTCGCGTAAGGCAAAAGGCCATTTGATCCTATTGGTTACACAGATAGCAGCCATACAAGCGGCCGGTGATCAAACCCTATTCAAGAGATTTTGGAACTTTAAGGAGAGCTGCAAGCTAGCTATGAAAGCCAATAAAATGGACAGAGGTAACCCTAATGAACTTTTCCCACTTTCTTATGATGACAAAAAAATATTTAAAAGATTTTTGAAAATATATAAAGTTATAAATTTCTTTAAAATAGAAAATAACTTGATTTTTAAAAAATATGAAAGAAAATAGTTTGAGACATCAATTCCTAAGAAGGAAAGGATGTCGGGGGATATACCGAGGCTGAGGCCGAAGCCTTTCAAGGCTTTGAGCACCTCAACAAAGAAAAGAACTAAGAGACGTTTATAACAATAGAAACTCCTAGCACCATTGTCCTAGATTGGGGTGTTTAGGAATTTAGGGTAGAATCAAAACCGACAGTACCCGGGGTTTCAGTTTTGGTTTTGGTTCCTATCCAGAGCTGGCCCTCACAAGGTTGATCCCAGTTCCAAAAATTGGAACCGGGACAGTGTCGTTCTGATTCCGGTTCCAACGCTTTAGGAACTAGAACTAGAATCAGGACTAAATTAAAATTTTATAAAAATATGGGGACCATTTGGAAATTTGATGATTCAATTGAATAAGAAAACGTAAAACGTGAAATTCAATTTACGATTTGCAAAAGCCCTAAGTTCAATTTTGTATAAAGAACACCAATGAGCTTTGCGAAGCGGAGCCTCTGACTATCAGATGTGTTCTATGGTGAGAGCTCGAAAGGCCAACACGAAGTAAGTAAAGGAAACTGAGGCTGGGGTTGCTTTTGTTATCAGAGGAGAATAAGGTTGTGCCTGATTTCCCGACAATTTTTTTAGCAGTGGAGAGCAAGGAAAAGAGGGAGGAGAGGGTGAACAAGATGAGGGGGGTGGCAGAGGAAGAGGACAAGAGGGAAGTAGAGGAGGTGGAAGAAGTGAAGAAGATGGCGAGGGAAGCAACAGTGGTAGAGGAAAGGAGGGAGGTGGTAGGGTCAAGGGAGTTGTGGAGGTGAAAGAGGTTTGAGAGCATTAGCATGAAGGCTTTGTCCATGGTGCCTTTTAATTTGAAACAAAATGACCTCTTTTATGATTTTAGGTTAGGGTTTAGTGGGAAGTGGTGGTTGCAATGTATTTGTAATTGTTGTAAACAATTGGGGTGTATTTGTAATTTTCACAAGGTATATTTGTCATTTTTGTGACTAATAGGAGAGCATTCATAATTTTCCCAAGTACCCAGAACCAGAACCTATGTTCCAAGTTCAATTCTATACATTTAGAAACCGAAGCCAATTGGTTTTGGTTCTGGTTCCAAATTCTAGGAACCAGTTGGTGCCTGTTCCGATTCTATGGGATTTGGATGGTTACCCGAACTCGCCCACCCCACTGAGTTTTCCTCACCAAATACCCTTGTAAGTTCTCATTTTGAGAGTAAGAAGTTCTACTAGTTACTTACAAAAATCAAGCGACAAAAAACACTAGGTCATACAAATTCCCATTACTAGAAAAATTACATTATGTTGTCCCATGTGAGAAGCAATGTTTTGACACCTGACCCGGGGTGTCACCGGCCATGGGGCCAGGTCCTAGGTTGGACCAATGAAGTCACCATGCTGACATCATCAAACCTAAAAAATTTCCTAAAACTAAACATTGAAGACTCTAGAATGCAACCCGCAGAGCTAACAAGGCGGAAAATTTATGTGAAATTTAAACACTAAATTAGCAACAACAACAAAATCCGAAATACCAATAATAATAATAACAACATCCATAGAATCAATACATCTCTTCTACCTTGTCATGCACTCATCTTATGTAATGTAATTCAATCAATGGTAATGTAACTCCAAACCCAACAAAACTATAGATGAACTCCACAAATAATCTCTAATATCAATAGATGGGGTATAAGATGAGAATGAATTTCAAGCCTCTGCAACAAAAAAGATTTTGCTCGATTCACAATTAGGCCAATTAAATTTAGTTCATCGCAATAAGCTGATAAGACATAAGGACAAGTAAAGTTTTAATTATATCTATTTGAAGTAGAAATAGAAACGATATAAGAAATGTAATTGCATCAAACCTTTTCTCTCTACATGTTTCTCAGTCTTCCAACCTCTTCCTCCATGGGTTGATCAAGCTTTTGATCCAAAACCCAAATACTTCCTTTGTTATTTTCATTGTCTTCATCAATCTCAACTCTAGCAACCATTCCCAAACTCAAATCAAATTGATTAAGCTTCCACCAAAGACTTTTAATATCTCTCCCTAGATGAAACCCAAAAACTCTAACACAAACTCACAACTTTATCCGCTTTAATACTTTTGCCCAATTTGTTCTATACTTCATTCTTGAATTCTTGAACTTGTCAAATAATTCATATTTATGTCTCATTAAATAAACATATCCATATCTTCTGAAGTCATAAGTAAATGTGATGAACTAGGAATATCCTCCTCTGNCAAGAGGGAAGTAGAGGAGGTGGAAGAAGTGAAGAAGATGGCGAGGGAAGCAACAGTGGTAGAGGAAAGGAGGGAGGTGGTAGGGTCAAGGGAGTTGTGGAGGTGAATGAGGTTTGAGAGCATTAGCATGAAGGCTTTGTCCATGGTGCCTTTTAATTTGAAACAAAATGACCTCTTTTATGATTTTAGGTTAGGGTTTAGTGGGAAGTGGTGGTTGCAATGTATTTGTAATTGTTGTAAACAATTGGGGTGTATTTGTAATTTTCACAAGGTATATTTGTCATTTTTGTGACTAATAGGAGAGCATTCATAATTTTCCCAAGTACCCAGAACCAGAACCTATGTTCCAAGTTCAATTCTATACATTTAGAAACCGAAGCCAATTGGTTTTGGTTCTGGTTCCAAATTCTAGGAACCAGTTGGTGCCTGTTCCGATTCTATGGGATTTGGATGGTTACCCGAACTCGCCCACCCCACTGAGTTTTCCTCACCAAATACCCTTGTAAGTTCTCATTTTGAGAGTAAGAAGTTCTACTAGTTACTTACAAAAATCAAGCGACAAAAAACACTAGGTCATACAAATTCCCATTACTAGAAAAATTACATTATGTTGTCCCATGTGAGAAGCAATGTTTTGACACCTGACCCGGGGTGTCACCGGCCATGGGGCCAGGTCCTAGGTTGGACCAATGAAGTCACCATGCTGACATCATCAAACCTAAAAAATTTCCTAAAACTAAACATTGAAGACTCTAGAATGCAACCCGCAGAGCTAACAAGGCGGAAAATTTATGTGAAATTTAAACACTAAATTAGCAACAACAACAAAATCCGAAATACCAATAATAATAATAACAACATCCATAGAATCAATACATCTCTTCTACCTTGTCATGCACTCATCTTATGTAATGTAATTCAATCAATGGTAATGTAACTCCAAACCCAACAAAACTATAGATGAACTCCACAAATAATCTCTAATATCAATAGATGGAGTATAAGATGAGAATGAATTTCAAGCCTCTGCAACAAAAAAGATTTTGCTCGATTCACAATTAGGCCAATTAAATTTAGTTCATCGCAATAGGTTGATAAGACAT